TGAAGAAGAAGGACCCTGTTGTGGTCAAAATCTGAGAAAAAAAATGGTCCTGTATCATACTAGAGGATTCTATGTGGTCTAAAAAAAAATCAGGTTCAATATATTGTCAGCAATATATGGGACGTGTGTGCAGCATCCAGGACTACAGTGGCCAGGACCATCGGGATATAGCACTGCAGCCTCAATCCACATTAGTTTCACATCCTTCTCTGTGGTTTCAGTGTATCCCTAAAGAGCTCACATGCTTGGAACACGTTTCTAACCTCCTGTGCTGACTTCAGTTTAGGTGAGATGTTTAGAAACTGAGTAGGTTAGAGGAGATCATGACACTAGGAAATAACAACAGCACTAGTGATGGCAAAGATTGAAGTGACTTAAAATAATATTTTTCTGGCTCACACTGGATGTAATGGCCAGGTAGAGACCCAGAAAGAGGTTCTCCAATTTTCTTTTTTATTTATTTATTTTTTATTAAGAGATTTTCTATTCATTTTACATACCAACCACAGATTCCCCTCTCCTTCTCCTCCTGCTCCCAGCCTTCCTCCCAAACCACCCCTCAATCCCACCCCCTCCAAGGCAAGGACTCCTATGGGGAGTCAGCAGAGCCTAGTACATTCAATTAAGGCAGGTCCAAGCCTCTCCTCCCTGCATCAAGGCTGCAGAAAGTCTCTCACTGTAGGCACTAGGCTCCAAAAGCCAGCTTATGCACTAGGGACAGGTCCGATCTCCCTGCCTAGAGACCCCCTAAACAGTTCAAGCTAAACAACTGTCTCGCTTATCCAGAGGGCCTAGTCCAGGACCATGGGGGCTCCTCAGCTATTGTTCCACAGTTCATGCATTTCCACTAGTTTAGCTGGTCGTCCCTGTACATTTCCCCATCATGATCTCCATGTCCCTTGCTCATAGAATCCCTCTTCTCTCTCATCCATTGGACTCCTGGATCTTGGCCTAGCACCAGCCTGCGGATCTCTTCATCTGCTTCCATCAGTCACTGAATGAGGGTTCTATCATGACAATTAGGGTATTCAGCCATCTGATCACCAGAGTAGGCCATTTCAGGCACCTCTCAACTATTGCTAGTAGTCTAAGGTGGGGTCATCCTTGTGGATTCCTGGGAACCTCCCTAGCACTCTGTTTCTCCCTACTCCCATGATGTCTTCATTTATCATGGTATCTTTTTCCTTGCTCCCCCACTCTGTCCCTGTCCCAGCTGGAACCTCCCATTCCCCCATGTCCTCATCCCTCATCCTTTGCCCTGTATTACCTCCCTCATTCCCAGTTTGCTCATGTAGATCTCATCTAATTCTCTTTCACTGGGTGAACCATGCATCCTTCCTAGGGTCCTCTCTGCTAGCTAGCCTCCCTGGAGCTGTGGGTTGCAGTCTGGTTATCCTTTGCTTTACACCTAGTATCCACTTATGAGTGAGTACATACCATGCTTGACCTTCTGAGTCTGGGCTACTTCACTCAGGATGATATTTTCTAGTTCCATCCATTTGCCTGCAAACCTCATGATGTCATTTTTTTTCTCTGTTGAGTAGTACTCCATTGTGTTAATGTACCACATTGTCTTAATCCATTCTTCAGTTGAGGGGCATCTAGGGTGTTTCCAGGTTCTGGCTATTACAAATAATGCTGCTATGAACATAGTTGAGCATGTGTCCTTGTGGTATGATTGAGCATTCCTTGGGTATATGCCCAAGAGTGGTATAGCTGAGTCTTGAGGAAGATTGATTCCCAATTTTCTGAGAAATCACAATACTGATTTCCAAAGTGGCTGTATAAATTTGCACTCCCACTAACAGTGGAGGAGTGTTCCCCTTCCTCCATATCCTCTCCAACAGAAGCTGTCTTCAGTGTTTTTGATCTTAGCCATTCTGACAGGTGTAAGATGGTATCTCAGAGTCGTTTTGATTTGCATTTCCAATTTTCAGTGCTATACTTTTGATCTTCCAATGTGCAGATCTATGAACAACAACAACAACAACAACAACAAAGTTAATTCATTCTTTTAACACCCCCTGTCTCAGGGACTGTGCTGTAGCAAGGGAACATTGTATGAGATACTCAATTTCTTCAGTCCTCTGTGTGAAGTTGGGGATTGGAAAAACTCACAACATCCTGTTGGTTCATACTCCCCTGTCAGCTCCACAAGGATACCTCAGGTTATTCAAGGCACACTGGGATAGTGTCACTCTCCCTCAGGAAACATAATCTTTGCTTCACTCCAGGACATTATCTGCTACCAGCTTTCACATTGATGATAACTCCACCTGCTAAAGAGGAAAGAGAAACAAATCAGAAGTCCCCATGGAAGTTGGCCTATAAGGCAGTCACACATGAATCCTGAGCACCCCAAATACCAGTGGTCCAGATAGCCTCAGTCCTATTTTTCTTTTTTTTTTTAAATTAGAACACAGAAATGGTTAAAAATTTACAGTACAAAGTCACAGTGCTTTGAGAAAATTTACTGTTGGTGTGTTACCATGGAGCATATACTTAAACTGTCTTCTATATTTGTACCCAAAGATGAGTGCTGCTCTCAGCATTGGTCAGAGAAGCCTCTTTATGAAACGTGTGACACTAAAACTGGGACCCGTGACTGCCATAATACTGAGAATAAGGGACTGCTGAATTCTCACCCCAAAACATATATATGATGGACCTGCTGACACCCAAGGTAAGTAGCAGGAGACAGCTGGAGGACTGAGTTGGATGCTTTCTTACAGATACAATGGAACCATTATAATTATGTACACATAGCAGTAGTAACTTGCTGTACATAGCCAGAAAGAAGGAATGGAAGGAAGTGATGGAAGAAAGGATTTGAGAGTTTTAGAGGGAGAAGGGAGAGAGGAAATAAGGAATCAGAAAGGTGGTCAGGGAGGTCGGGAAGCAAGGGAGGGAGGCAAGGATAGAGGAGACATGAGAGGAGAGGCACGAAAGGGTCATCGGAAGTGAGTGGCAGAGGACAGAGGGCTGTGGCAATGAATTGTTCATCAATTCTTTTGGAGAAGATTTTTTCCATCTCAATCTTCATAAAATATCTTCTGCAATAAATTCCCCTTTCCTGTTTCAAAGGAAATATTCTGTAGCTCTTTCTTCATTAATTTAAAGGAACGCCATTCCAAGGAAGTTAAAATGCCACTAGAGGCTTGCCGGCAGTCCAATCTGTTGGAAGCATTTTTTTTTTCAAATGAGGTTCTCTCTACCAAGATGATCAGAGCTTGTGCTACACTGACAAAATTCTAACCACCATACAAATATACAATGGGCCCTGTCAGTGTAACATAATCATTAACTGAGTACCCTTGTGCCCACTAGACATAAGTAAGTAAACGACTGAACAAGCACTTTAGTATAGGGATTCACCTCTCAACTAGAAGATAGTTATAAATAATGTGCAGCTCTATCCTGAACACGTTTCCTCTAAGTGACTTTTTCTTAGTGACTTCCTTCTGTAGCCTTGCAAAAGGGAAACCCATGAGTCATGAGATCACAGAATGTGTACACAATCTATCTCTGAGGTAACCATAGACAAAACATCTTAAGTAAGAGGTCTCATCTCAGTTCTCCAATGTGGTATGAGAAATGTCTAATTATTCCTGTGATTTTTTTCCCCAAGATTTTATAACTTCTATGAAAACCCAGACAAACCTAAGATGAGACACACTTAGCATAGTGTCTGAAAAATATTCCTCTAACCTTTAGAGCATCATGAACAAGGTGAACACAGCTCCCATAGTGGTGAGTGCCCATCAGAGATGGCACAGATGGCTGTCTCCCCAGTGTTAAGACCTGTCTCCACCACTGAGACTCACAGTACAAAGATTATGCATGGAGGAAATAGGGACACAGCATGTCAGATGTCCAGTTTTAAAGAAGTGGAAGCTATTCTCTGGATCCTTACTGAACAGGTTGGTTTAAGTTATTCTCTTCCCTTCCCTGCTTTACATTACCAAGGCATGGAGAAAAGCCCTGAAATCCCTTGTTCTGTGTGGTGACCTGCACCTCAAGACAAAGGGTTTCTATTGTTTAAGTATGTCCCCTTCACCACTTCTTGTCATCACAGGCTTCTCTGTTTGTTTGTTTTTTACTTCACTTAACATAACCCTCAACCCTGGCTGCACGATACTTCTTCTTATGAGGTGTAATGAGCTACTTCTTCTTATGAGGTGTAATGAACAGCTGACCTTCCCATCCCTCACCAATGCAATAATCATATTTAGGAACCTGGTTTTGTCATGTGCTTCATATGGTCAAGACACCAAGAGGGAAATAAAAAGTACATAGAGATAGTCAGGTATAGAGAGAGACTGACAGAAAGAGAGACAGACATACATACATAAAAAAAGGAGATCTTGTCTTCAGGTATGCTGTCCATGAGTGGGCAAGTGAGTGCTCTGAGACCACTAACACAGCCACAAAATCAGTCCCTTGGGTCTCCTGTCAGATAAACATTTAAAGTCAAGTGAATTAAATTTTTGTAAGTTGCTGCCTCACAAGCTGTATTTTCTAGATGAGTGATAAGATTAACTGACACTAACAGAAAAGATTTCTAGTAGTTCCTTAATTCAAATTTCACACCACTAAAGCCTGAAGTACATCATGTGACTAACTTGCATCCAAAATCTTCTATAGGAATTTACAGGGATAAGAAATGAACATATGGTATCCTCTTCTGCATACACAGCATGAATGTGGACTCAATGTTTTGCAGGCAAGGTCTGCTAGTGTAAATCATAAAATTTCCTGTTAATATGGAATTAGAAATCCAAATGAAAGCAGAAAATGTTCCTGATTATTTTGCGACCAGTTTCTCTAACAAGAACAAGGTAAATCTCAGTCACCTGAGGGAAGAGTGGAAGCCTTGCCCTGTGCTCTCTTTTATCCTCTCAGGAACCTCCCCCAATGCAAAGCAGCCCTCAGGCTCAGGATGAAAGCCCAGGCCCAGCTGAGAAGCCCCATCTCCTTCTCACTAGAGCCTCCAGCAGAGCATGGCTGTCCTGGTGCTGCTCCTCTGCCTGGTGACCTTTCCAAGCTGTAAGTGGGTCAGGGTTTCAGGAGACGGACCCAGACATGTCGTCTATGGGATGTATGACTGATGGTGATGTTGTTTGTCCCCAGGTGCCCTGTCCCAGGTGCAGCTGAAGGAGTCAGGACCTGGCCTGGTGCAGCCCTCACAGACCCTGTCTCTCACCTGCACTGTCTCTGGGTTCTCATTAACCAGCTATGATCTAAGCTGGGTCCGCCAGCCTCCAGGAAAGGGTCTGGAGTGGATGGGAGGAATATGGTATAGTGGAAACACAGAGTATGATTCAGCTTTCAAATCCCGAATCACCATCAGCAGGGACACCTCCAAGGGCCAACTTTTCTTAAAACTGAACAATCTGCAAACTGAGGACACAGCCATGTATTACTGTGCCAGAGACACAGTGAGGGAACCCCAGTGTGAGCCTGCACAAAAACCTCCCTACAGACCCACTGAGCACCAGTAGGGGGCACTGAGGACCAGCAGGGATTCCTGAGGACCACCAATAAGAGTCACTTCAGAAGCTAGAAAGTTCTGCACTATGCACAATCAGCATGGGTTTTAATGTCAGAACCTGTGGTTTCCTCTTTAAGCCAAGGATATCCTCTATAGGCCCCTCTGAACTGTTATATTCTATTCAACTTTCTATGTGTGCACACATTAGAACAAATTGTTTTTCTCACACACCCTCTAAGCCATCCAATTGTTTCTGATTACCATACTTAATGGCACCTACTTTAATATATCCCATATAAGATTGTGTGTGTGCTGTGGGATGTTCTGTATGGCAAATGTGTTGCTGATTAGTCAATAAATAAAACACTGATTGGCCATTGGCTAGGCAGGTGACCCGTCCTGCGGGCCAGGTTATTGGGGAGACCCGAGGAGGCACCTCCTGAAAGATCAATGGGGGCGAGAGAGAAAGGAGACCAGGTGCATTAGGGAAGACAGAGTCAGTCTGAGTCGCGTCAAGGTCTCATTTATTGACTGGGTATTGAGGCTTATAAGCAGGGCTTCAGGCAGGGAGGGGGAGCAGGGGAAGCAAAAGGAGAGAAGAATGGAAAATTCCTAAAAGGGTGAGGTCGCTTTGGTCCCAGGCCCCTGCAGCTGGCTGATTAGCATGTACTCCAGGAAGTTGTACAGCCCGCGGTTAGGCCAGGAACCTGTTTTTGCAAGGTTTGATAAAGTAAGGAAGGTCACACAAAATTCAAGACACAGCTGTCTGGAGTCGGTCCCTAACAGGCAGGAAGTGTAGGCAGGACAAGGAGGAGAATAAAGCTGGGAAGTAGAAGGCTGAGTCAGAGAGACACTGTCAGCTGCCATGATGAGAAACAGCATGTGAAGATGCCGGTAAGCCACGAGCCATGTGGCAAGGTATAGATTAATGGAAATGGATTAATTTAAACTGTAAGAACAGTTAGCAAGAAGCCTGCCACGGCCATACAGTTTGTAACCAATATAAGTCTCTGTGTTTACTTGGTCGGGTCTGAGTGGCGGTGGGACTGGCGGGTGACAGAGATTTGTCCTGACTGTGGGCCAGGCAGGAAAACTCAAGCTACAAATGGCGTCCAACGTGGTGGCAAGAGTTTCCACCTAAAAACTGAGAAAAGATTCTAAAAAGGAGCTAAAAACAGTTCCTAATTGTCTCTCTCAAATGAGCAGCAGCTGCAGGTTTGAGCTACTGAAAATTGCATTGTTAAATAAATGGTACAAGTACAATTAGAAATATACATATAGCATTTTCTAACAATATCAATTTCAATATATATAATTTGTATACAATATAAAACAATCCAATCCAATGTAAAGTATTTAAAACTAGTAATTGTCTTTTTCTTCTTTTCATTTATTTTCTTTCTTTTTTTTAAACAAGAACCTTAAATTTAATCTCCTTTGCTTAGCCTTTTTCCTAACCCTTGACAACAACTTGTAACCAAATCCCCTAAACAATGAAAATTATCCCAGACCCAAAACCCATTAAAAAGACAAAAAAAACACCTGCCCCACACCACTTCTTTGGGAATGTGGGTGTCGTATTCTTAAAATTGCTTCCTGCTGGGCATGGACGAAGTTATCTTTATCCTGAAAGAAAAATTTTAGGTTAATTGTCAAATTCTAGGAAAGGTAACTATATCCTTCATTATCCAGTCTGTGTATAATGCCAAAGTTCAGGGTTTATCTCAAGTCCTTATTCAAGTAGTCTTTGAGACTGGATCATTTCAGCTAGTCATCTCAAAATTGCTCTGAGCACCTTGTAGTTTAAAGCTGATCTGTAGATGATGTTTGTCATCTTAGTGATATTATTATTGTCCATGTGGAATTGTTGTAGTTGTGGGGCCCCATCTTCTCCCTGGAAACTTCAGTTGATGTTAGGCCTGGCCGTGATTTCCTGCAGAAAACTGATAAGAGACAGGAACACAAAGACATATATATGCAGCTAATTGAAGCCTTTTTTCTAGAATTAGTTAGTACTCTATATGACCATTCATATCTTAACAAAGTTTAAAATGTATATATGTCTGTATATATTAATCTTGTAAATTTTGATATAAAATTTATACTTTAAGAAAAGTTTAAAGAATCAGAATAGAATCAAAGAGTTGAGATTAGTAATCGGATAGTCCCTTAAATACTTTGGCTTTTCTCCTGTCCCATAGCAGATGATGACTCTTTTATTCTGGCATGATACAGGGAGTTTGCATTTTCCTTTTAACAACATGCTTGAGTTTAAGGAAGGAGGGAGCCATTCTCCAACTCCAAAGTCAGCTTTAAATTTTAATTGAACTGGGACTATTAGAAGACCAATAGTGTTAAATCTTTAGAGAAAAGCCCAAACAAACATTTAGGAAGACATAAAATATTTTAGGTAATATATACCCATACGCCGTTTCACTCTGTTTCCTGGGATAGATGATTTGGCCCTTTTCTTCAGTTGTCTCATTTGTCCAGTGTTCTTCAGATTCCTTAACCTTCATTCTCCTAAAAGACAAAAACAAAAACCTTTCCCCAAGACTAATTTTGGGGATGTTCCTTTTTGGCAAGTTATTATCTGATTAAATGAAAAGGCATGTGTTACTGGTATAAGTTAGTTTAAATTGGATGTTCATGTTGGTTGATAAACTATCACCTCCTCTAATTAAGAGGTTTCTCTTGTTCAAATCAAACCTTTATCAATTTTGATGGGACCCACAGTTTATCTTCTCCTGTAGAAACAAAAGCAAAACCTACCCCAACGTAACACATACCCTGGTTTCCATTCTGAGTTCAGCACCTCCTTAAAGTATATAGGCAGATTTAATTCTGTAGTTTTTTCTATTATCCAATGTCTCTCTGCAGCTGTTGTTCCTTTCTCATTGGCATTAAGAAAATTCAAAGTTAATAGAGCATTATGCAGTCTGTTTCTGGGGGGTTTTGTTACCCCTTTCTGTTTATTTAGCATATCCTTTAGAGTTCTGTTTGATCTTTCTATAACTGCTTGACCTGTAGGATTATGTGGTATGCCTGTAATATGCTTTATATTGTAATAAGCAAAAAGCTGTTTCATTTTAACAGAGACATATGATGGAGCATTGTCAGTTTTCATTTGTGCAGGTATACCCATGATGGCCATAACTTCTAGCAAATGAGTGATTACAGAACTCAAAGCAGTTGCCCATTGAAATCCTGAATAAGTATCAATGGTATGGTGTACATATTTCAATTTTCCAAATTCTGCAAAGTGAAACACGTCCATCTGCCAGATTTCATTCCTTTGAGTACCTTTTGGGTTACATCCTGCTGGTAATGGCATTTGATTGTAGAAGGAACAAGTAGGACATTTCTTTACTAATTCCTTGGCTTGTTGCCAGGTTATGGAAAAATCCTTTTTTAAACCTTTACTATTGACATGATGTTTTTAATGAAATTCTGAGGTCTCCAACACATTTCCTATCAATAATTTATCAATCTCATCATTGCCTTGTGCTAGAGGGCCTGGCAAACCAGTATGGGATCGAATGTTAGTTATATATAAAGGATGAATCCTTTTCCTGATTGTATCTTATAATTGAATAAATAGTGATGTTAATTCTGAAGCATCAGGGATAAATTCTGCAGTCTCAATATGTAATACTACTCTTTCAGCATACTGAGAGTCAGTTACTATGTTGAGAGGCTCTGAAAAATCCATTAATATCAACAGAATAGCATATAATTTGATTTTTGAACTGAATTATAAGGACTTTGAACCACTTTACTTAAATTTTCTGATTTGTAACCTGCCTTTCCTTGTTTGTTGGCATCTATATAAAATGTATGAACTCCAGATATGGGTTTTTCCCATACATTTCCAGGTAAGATCCAATCAGCTCTCTTTATAAGATCAATTCTATCACTTTTGGGATATTTGCTGTTAATTTCTCCAAAAAAATTACTGCAAGCTCTTTGCCAAGGTTCACTTTCTGTCCATAATTTTTCAATGTCCTCCTTAGTTAAAGGTACGACAATTTCTGCTGGGTTTATTCCTGCTAATTGACATAGTCTCAATTTTCCTTTCCAAATCAAGTCAGAGATTTTTTCCACATAAGTTTTTAATTTTTTATTTGGTTTATTTGGTAAAAATATCCATTCCAATATAATATCTTCCCTTTGCATTAATATTCCTGTAGGAGAATGCCTAGAAGGTAAAATAACCAAAATGCAATCCAGCTTTGGATCAATGCGATCCACGTCCCCTTCATGTACTTTCTTTTCTACCAAGGCCAATTCTTTTTCAGCTTCAGGAGATAATTTTCTTGGACTATTTAAGTCCTATCACCTTCTAAGGATTTGAACAAATTATGCAATTCATCATTTTTTACCCCAACAATAGTTTGTAGATGAGAAATATCTCTAAATAATCTTTGAAAGTCATTAAGAGTCTGTAGTCTATCTCTCCTAATTTGCACCTTTTGGGGTCTAATCTTTTGTAGCTCTATTTTATATCCTAAATAATTAATAGAATTTCCTCCTTGTCTCTTTTCAGGAGCAATTTGTAATCCCCAGCAAGGCAAAATTTTCTTTACTTCTTCAAACATTCTTTCTAAAGTATCTGCATTTGAGTCAGCTAATAAAATATTATCCATATAATGATAAATTATACATTTAGGAAATTTTTATGTATCACTTCCAATGGCTGTTGTACAAAATATTGGCACAGAGTTGGGCTATTCAACATTCCCTGTGGGAGGACCCTCCATTGAAATCTTTTAACCGGTTGAGAATTATTATAAGTAGGCACTGTGAAAGCAAATCTTTCTCTGTCTTTTTCTTGTAAGGGTATTGAAAAGAAACAGTCTTTTAAATCAATAACTATAAGAGGCCATCCTTTTGGTAGCAGAGTAGGCAAAGGAATTCCAGATTGTAGAGAGCCCATTGGCTGAATTACTTTGTTAATTGCTCTAAGGTCTGTTACCTTTCTTCATTTACCAGATTTATTTTAATAACAAATACAGGAGAATTCCAAGGGTTGGTTGATTCTTCAATATGCTGAGCATTTGACTGTTCTTCTACCAGCTCTTCTAAAGCCTGGAGTTTCTCTGTTGTTAAAGGCCATTGCTGGACCCATACAGGCTTGTCTGTTAACCATTTTAAAGGTAGAGCTGTTGGTGTCTTTGGAAGATCATTAGTTGTTGTGCCCTGTTCTTGTATAATATGGATGGCTGGTGACCACTAAGAATAATGCCTTCTAGTATTTCTCTCAGATACATGTGCTAGTTTATGATTTGTTTCTGAGATTGGAGGGATATTAATCTGAGTATTCCATTGTTGCAACAAGTCTCGACCCCACAGGTTCATAGCTATGTTAGCCACATATGGTTTTAATTTTGCTCTCTGTCCTTCTGGACCTATACATTCGAGCCATCTTGCACTCTGTTTCACCTGAGATAATGTCCCAAATCCTAACAGTTGAACTTTTACCTCCTGAAGTGGCCAAGTTGGATGCCAAAATTCTGGTGCAATTATGGTAACGTCCGCACCTGTGTCTACCAGACCAGACAACAAAACACCATTTATTTTTATCGTTAATTTTAGTCTTTGTTCATTAATAGAAGTTTGCCAAAATATTTTCTTTATGTTTTCTCCTGAATTTTCTATTCTCTCTGTTTCATCATCCTGACCAGCATGATTTATTTCAATAGGCATTTGGTTATTTAATTGCTCTGAGTAGGGGTTTCCTCTACCACTGCAGGAAAGGTTTGAACTGGATTTGCTATGGGGGCCTGCATGAGGCCCCTCTGGGAGTTTCCCGAAGACTGAGGCAAAGGATTACCCTGTCTGTCCCTTACTGATCTACATTCATTGGTCCAGTGTTTTCCCTTACCACACCTTCTGCATACTCCAGAAAGAAGGGGCATTCTGTTGCCATTGTTCCTTGAAGAAACATTGTTTCTAGGAATGACCTGTTTACAGTCCCTTTTCAAATGTCCTTGCTTTCCACATCCAAAACATCTAACATTCCTCGAACCTTTTGAAATTGCTTCTCCTACCCACATAGCATCATGGTCATGAACCTCAACATTAACCATTGTCTCTAATCCAATCTTCCAAAGGTACAGATCTTGCCTTTAATGGCCTGATTATTCTTTTGCATGCTGCATTTGCATTCTCAAAGGCCAAAGATTCAATTATTATCTGACTAGCTTCTGAATCCGGGACCATTCTCTTTACTGCTGTAGTCAGACTTTGTAAAAAAAAATCTGTGAAAGATTCTTTTGGGCCTTGTATAACCTTTGTAAATGACTCAGGTTTTTTTTCCTGGTTCCTCAACTCTCTCCCATGCATTCAAGGCTGCTGTTCGACATAAAATTAGGGTTTGGACATCATATAAACATTGTGTTTGTACTGAAGCATATTGGCCTTCTCCAATAAGCTGATCCTGGCAGACTTGTATTCCTTTATCCCTCCATTGTTTTCTGTTTTTAGCTTCATCCTTGAACCAAGTTAGCCACTGAAGCCTTTGACTGGGTTCAAGAACAGCTTGTGCCAGCTCCCGCCAATCCTGTGGTACAATCCTATTATATGTTGACCAAGAGTTTAACATTTTCTTTACATATGAGGAATGCATGCCATAAGATACTATTGCCTCCTTAAACCTTTGTAAATCTAACATTTCAATTGGAGCCCAAATATTTTGTGTAGTCATTTGATTAGGCAGCTGCTGTATGGTTACTGGATAAATTAAGGGTGACTGTGAAAACAGGCTTTCTTTCTGTAACCTTATGATCCAATCTTGAAACAACTTCACTGTTAATTTCTTCTGTCTGAATTTTTGCAGGTTTAACAAGTTTTTCTAAAGCTGTCATCCTGGCACTTAAATTGACTATCTTTTTAAATAGTAAAATGAGGATAAGCATAGTAATAAACTGCATAATTCAATCAACATTAATCTTCTCATATAGTTGTTCCATTGTCAGACTGCCTAAAATTGCAAACAAAGCCCAATTTTCTTCCAATGTACACAGAAATCCCATTTTTTTTAATGTGGGAAAAATTCTCTTTTAAATAGTTTCCTTTAAAATATCTGATATGTTAAGTGACTTACCAAGTCTGCGTAGAACAGTAGAAATCCGAGAGAATTTCAAAAAAGCCACCTAGTGTCTGAGGTGTGAATCCAGAGAGAGAGAGAGAGAGAGAGAGAGAGAGAGAGAGAGAGAATGCAAGAAAGCGTAGCCGGCTAAATTTTAAATCCAGCCACGTGTTCCCTCTTGAGTTGAGTCAAGGCTTGGCTCTGGCTTCCTTAAGCTCCAACCATGTGCATTGGCTTTACAGGCAGGGACCCTGTTCGGCAGGGCAGACCTGAGTTGTTTGTAGCACCAGATTTAAGCAAGTAGCTCAAGGTTAGTCCAGCCTGAGGCCAAGCTGACCTGGGCCCGTGCTAGGGAGCCAGCCACCCAGGTGCGAAACCAGACCTGCTGCCAAGCCAAGTCAAGCAGTTTTTAATGGATTCTTGTCACGTTGGGCGCCAAATGTAGATGTAACCAACTGTCGTATTAAATAAGAAACACAGAGCTGATTCAGAGAAGAAAGCCAAGAGGTCAGAGCTAAGAGCCTTACCCTGCAGCTAGCCTCTTAAGCCAAGAGACCTCTCTGAAAGAGAGCTACTTCCTGTGTGTTTGTCTTTATATAGTCTTTCTGTTCTGACTTCTCATTGGTTGTAAACCCAAACACATGACTGCCTCATCGTCACTGCCTGTCTGTAGAGACTTCCAGGTCTTCTATGGTTGGGATTGAGATTAAAGGCGTGTGTCTCCAATGCTGGCTGTATCCTTGAACACACAGAGAGCTACCTAGCTCTGTCTACCAAGTACTGGGATTAAAGGCATGTGCCACCACCGCCATGCTCTTCTATGGCTCTAATAGCTCTGACCCCCAGGCAACTTTATTTATTAACATACAATTAAAATCACATTTCAGTATAAATAAAATACCACCATATATTACCATTTTCCAAAGGTAGTTTTGAAACTGGAATATCCATTATTTCTTTATTCTAAATCAAGAGAAC